TGGGATCCCGCTCCAAGTGGTTAGATATTTGATGCAATAAATAAATAACTCCGATAAAAACTGTAAAAGAATAGACAATCCCCTTTTTTTTTCTTGGTTTTTTTTTTAATTTTTTTTGTGGTTTTATGTTTTTGTTTTTAAAGTACTCTCTCTACCCCCTAACAACAACTTTCCCCCTCCACCATACACTTCTATCCCCCCCCCCTCCAATCCACAATGCTGGAAATTAACTGGAGTTTTCAAACTACGCTTATGTAGGAGCAGAGATATGTTGAAGGCATTGAGGCTGATTTACCATTGCTGTCGCAAATCTACAAGGGCTGCGCTACATCGGGGACACCTAAGTATACATGCCCCACATTCATGAAGCTCAAGAGAGCTGTCGCTAATCGGACATAGTAGCTCAGAATATGAACACTAGATTCATGATGGTGGTTCGGGAAACCACTGTTTGAAAATGACTTTGTTTATGGACTGGTTACTTGAAAATGACAGTACTTTTCAGTCTGAAAGCAGGATTAATAGACCTAAATTCAACAGAGTGCTAACCAAAAGGAAGATGGAATGGTGGTCACATGCATGCATGGTAGCCAGACAGTGGTCTTCCATTAGCGTTTAGTTTGCCCATGCAGTAGTAGCTTGATATTTTTTAACTGTGCAAAAAAAAGCAAAAAGCAAACTTCGATAAGCTGCATCATCTAGTGTATGACACTAAATAGGACAACATATTTCTGACAATGAACACTGACAAGAAGAGGGATTGTTTTAACAATACATTGCATAATGCTATCACCAAGTACATACTGTTGGGTAACAAAAATAAAAGATCAAGAGCTAAGCCTGCATGGCTAAATAAAAAAATAAAACAACACTTTAAAGACAAAAAGCTGGCATTTAAAAAATATAAGGTGGAAGGGACTGCATTGGAATTCCAGAGCTACAAGGAATGTAATAGGAGATGTAAACATGAAATCGGAGCAGCTAAAATAGATTATGAAAAGCATATCACCACAGTCTGTAAGAAGAACCCAAAAAAATTCTTCCAATATTTAAACAGTAAGGTAAAAAAAGAGCAGGTAGGCCCAATAAAAGATGAGAAAGGGAGATTAATCACAAAAACGACAGGGAGAGGGCCAAGTTATTAAATTAATTTTTCTCCTCAGTATACACTAAAGAAAAAGAAAGGTTTAATAGAGATAAAAATGTGAGTAGCTTAATGCGGAAGATACCACAGTGGTTGACAGTAGCCAGGGTTCAACAAAGACTTGAAAAACTTAATGCAACTAAATCGTTAGGATCAGATAACCTGCAACCCAGGGTACTCAAAGAGTATGTCATGCCATGGTTTCTGGGGTTTCCTGCTTCTCTGGGGAGCCCGGGACCATGGCAAACAGTGGCAGGATCGAAAGTGGGAGCAAATCGAGGAACGTGCATTCTCCAACCTTCTCTGTGATCAATGAAGCAAGAGGTGATCAATGAAGCAAGAGGTGTCCTCAGCGCTCCCTGCTACAAAGTTATCACAAACATGGCTGCAATTCCGGTTAAACAGAGGATCAAGCACAATCCAGTGCTTTATCGTCTGTATCACCGTAAAGAGAACCTGTCACTTCTCAATGCTATAACATAGGGGCTTGTCTTCCCCTTTGTGATAGTAATAAAGTTAAGTAAAAAAAAAAAAACTCATAAGCCCACTGGAGCTTTTTTCAATGTTTTCTTCCCCAGCGTTTAAAATTAACCAGTATCAGCGTTTAAAATTAACCAGTGCAAAAAAAAAAGATGAAAGATAGTCAAAAATCTTAGTGTGATATAAACTTTGGCAGTGAAATAATAGATTTTTAAACATCAATCACCACACCAAAGCAAAAAGAAGACATTTGAGGAGGAACAAGGAATTGGGACGAAAGGAGAAACAGCCATTCAAGATAAAAGACATTTTGGAGCTATATGAATACTGCCTTTCTGGTTGCAAAACTACACAAAATTGCTCCCCAGAATAACCATATACATATAAGCAAGGAAGTTCAATGGTGCTCTTTAGAAGGAAATATTAATGTTCGCAATAAATTTGATTTTTTTTTATTGAGGATTCTCAAGAAATCAATGATTATTCTAAAACGTAATGAGCACATTTTCACAACTTAATCCCAATGTCACTTTATGTGACTAAAGCTAAGATAAAGATGAGAAGCCTGCAATTTACTAATACCCTTGACAAATTATTTTTATTACAAACCAAAACCCAATTATATGAAAAATTTTATGACTGTATGACTTGTCACAGAAATATTAAAACTCTTTATCATCTATATGATAAAAAGAGAAGGGAATTTCTTGTTTCTTGTCAGTAAAATTGAAAGGAGTTCTTGTACACATTTGGTTTAATATACTCCGAAAGCATGCAGCAATACACTTTCTTCTCTCATCCTGACAATTGTATAGCCCTTCAGTGTGGTACCTTCTTCCGATAGTTATGTGCTTCAGGTGTGTACTGTCATCCACACCCTTCCCCTTTTGCACCATGGTTCCATCTCCCTCTATGTTCTTCAGGCTGTGAGCTGCCATCTGTTCTATTTCAGACCTTCACTGTTGCTCATTCTACCTCCTGGCTCTGTGCCTTGGACTGTGAGCAGTTTGTGCCCTAAATGATTCTGCCTCACTCTCCCTTATTCCCAGATTTCTTCAACAATGACTATGGTTTTAGCCAACACACAACTCACAGAATACATGGACAGAGTATAAAAAAAATCTACCCTCAGTATCAATCATAGACTGCTAGCAGGAGAAGGGATGTCCTTGTGGACAAGAATACTGACTCAGAAATAGTGTGGTAAGAATGGAAGCCGTACGTTGAATGAGCTTTTTTGGGAAAGGTCTCATGTTCTTTAGTGAGGTAGGTCTCCTGCAGGCAGACTTTAGCAGGTTTAAATCATGAAGTCGACTATTAGCAAGTCTCTTAGCTGGATTGTGGAAGCCCAAACATTCCTGGAGATTAAAGAATTTAGAATAAATAACTCCCAGGCCATTCCTGGGTAAATGCCCTAAAGTTTCACTAAACAGGTATAAGGGCTTGTCACAGAAACATTAGGAAAAGTACCAGATTGGGGTTTGTTTGAGTTGCCCTTAGTTGGAAATATTACCACATAAACATATAGATAAAATTGCAGCATTTTATTAATATGTTTAATTAAAACCATAGAACCAAAACACAATACCCTTGGGACTGGCCCACTGGTCCCACATCAATCAGTACCTCCACAGAGGCTAAGAGATAGGCAAAGTCCAAACCCATAAAGGGCATATGTAACTATAAGTAAACCGAGGATCTTGTGGTGCTGAAAAATTATATGTCTCTTGATGCGTTTCCCCTGTAAAAGCTTCCTCAGGTGAGGGACCTAGTGCCTAAAGAATAAAATAGGTTATGCCAAGGGCATCAAAGAGACATCCCGGTCCCAATGTCTAAAAAATCCAATCCCCCGTCCACCAACTGAATGAGACCACAGGAGGTGTAGAGCCCCAAACAATACCACCAGGGTGCTGCGCTAAAGCAAAACTTTTAGGAGTTGTTTAGCCAGCATCCCTCCCGGATGGCAAGGGATGGCTGCTAAACCATGTAACCAATAGACTTAAAATGAACACATGTGACACTAGAGCACAGCATAACCTCACACAGCAATTTGTACGTCTGTAGTTTTACCTAAAGCAGTGAATGAGAAAGTAACAAGAAAATAGAAACAGCTACATGTGATAGTCACTACATACTGCTTAAAAAGAACCAATGAATCCCATATGTAAATACACCCCAACAGAAACTGACCCAGGTTAACAGTGAACCCATTTATCACAAACCTACACCACCGTCCATTTGGACCAAAGAATACCTGGGACATAAGCAAAATTTGTCTTTACTCAACAAGTCAAGCTGTTATCTCTGCTTTGACAAATTCTTTCCCATTGGTGAACATATTTAACATCCAGAAAACTTTACAGAAAATAATACATGAAAATAACGATTGAACTGTTCCACATTTCTTGTACTTTAAAAAGTTCTTCCTCTGAAAGCAGATCTTTAAGGATCTTCCCTCTGCAACTCCAGTGGTTTCCCTCTGCAAACTGAGCACAGGGAGTCACTCGCTTGGAACTGCTGCCATTCTGAGAATTCCTTCTATATTTTTCAATTTAAACAATAGGTTCTCTGATCGGATGGGGTGGATGAGGTTACAATCTCCACCATATCTTTACTGAAAATCGCCCATAGAGCGATTCCCTGCAGGTGCAGAGGGGAAGCCACTGGAGCCCCATCTGGAAGATCCCAGCTATCACTGTATGAAGCACAGGCTACTCCAGTAATTTTCAGGCTCCTCAGTGTTTGTCTGGATATTAGATATGTGTACTTCTATTGACCCAAACTGGACCAATGTAAGTTTGCAAAAAAAACTTACATGAGTCTAAAAATTGTTAATTGATTACATTTTTGATTTCACAATCTAAACATCCCTATGCTTCTCTTGAAAATACTGTCAGATCATGGCTGGTAGAAGAGGCCAGAAAGGTGCTGTGCATAGCTACCTGTAATCATCACAGTACTCTGCTCAGGAGCTTCAGCCCTGATGCAATCATGCAAATATCAAAATGCCTTGTGAATGTTAGTCTGGAGGAGTGAGCATTCCTAAGCAGGCTGCATTTCCATGCAAACCACCCACATGTATTGCTAAGCCTTTATGATTGAAAAAACTAAAGTCCAATGGATGAAAGGGGTAGACCAGGGACAACAAGGCTGGAAAACAAAGAGCTAGATTATGCTGGATGTCCTCCAGCCAGGAACTGAAGCAGGCTCTGTCTTATTTGCTGCAGCTTCTAATGCACATTGTGAGAAGTATACAGTGTACAGTGACATCAGAGTAAGCTATTTCAGTACAGGAGAGAAACTGGTATAACTGTGCAAGACTGAAAGTAAGGCTTAGCTTTTATTATTAAGAAATATAACTGGAAGTTCTACACACCTGAGGCCCGACCCTGTAGACAGTGTCCATCTGTGCTTTAAGTATGTTGCATTTTATGTGCTCAGGTAAAGATGAAGGAGGAGATATTGGAGAGTGGAGCGGTTTTTCATATGGTATCTTGTCTTCACCCTGTATTGTTTTAAAAGAAATACAAAATGAACATGTTACTTAAAGACACATATGTACTGTAGTACAGAGCTCACACAAAAATTTGCGAGTGGAAATAAAGTGAGGGTGAGTGGAAATTCAGCCGGTGTATTAGAGCTCACACTCTCTCTGCCTCATGCTGATGCTGCCCCGACAACAGACACGCCCACACCACTGCTGGGAGCAGTGTCTACTTTGATTCCCTTTGCATTTGATTCCCTGTCTTGGCAATACTTGTTCCACATACTACGTAAATGGGGCCTAGGGTCGGGATTCTGTACCTGGATCACAGCATTATGTTCAAACCCCACGGCCTCAGTGAGATATGCGGGGCACCGATCAACACATTCAAGCCACCACACTAGCGGAAGCCATGGACCTAATCAGTGAACTGGGCCTCAAAGCAGCAGACTCACGATCTCATCACCCCTCTACCTCAGATCCGCAAGGCGCACAAAGCCTACTCCACCCTGCAACCGCCAAATCACCTCTACCCCCAAGATCTCCACAACGACATCGGAGGCGTCTTGCTTCGGGGATATCAGACTCGGACTCAGCCGGGTGACAATATTGCTTGGCTATCACGCAATGCCTTTTCCCCCTCTTTGTCTACCATTAGGGCTCCTGAAAATCGCTCAACTGAGCGGAATTTGATATCTGCTGTTAATTGTTTGATTTGGACAGTATGCTTTAGCTATATTTTGATAATCACACATATGGGTCCACTCCCTTTAACTTTATCTCCCCTCTCATTGAAGGGTTCTTAAAGTTGTCTATTGTCGGACCCTTATCCATGTGCATTATGCCCCTAAGTGCCCTTCCTTAGACATAGATTGTGAACCTAAGCCGTAACGTTCTCTAGTCCCTGACATTGGCCCTTAACATAGACTGGTTGAACCTTACTTTGCACCGCCACTAAGTATGACCTCACTCTGTTATATATCCGATTATTGGGGCCGTCCCATCAAATTTTACTCTAATAACTGCCTCATTGTTACCTTGAGCTCCTTGTTCCTCCTATCAGCGAGGCTATCCACAACATATTATGAGACTTACCCCCAATGGTCGGAATATATTTGTTATTAACGTTAATATAATGGTTTTGTTGCTGATTTTACAGCTAAGTTCTTAGCCTCTCCCCTGAGGCGCCGGGGAGGTGGTCACTGCGCCCCTCCAACATCCCTAGTTCCGGATATGTTTCTGGCTGGGGAATATACTTCTGCCCTGTGGCGCGGTCCCCCCTCTATAGGGGGCCTCGCCGTGATGGTCAGAAACCTATGTACGATTTATTATGGTTTACTAACCTGTTTTTTCTGTTCTAGTTTCTCCCTCCCACCCCCCCATCATCCCATCATTCCCTGTCACGAGGTGAGATGTCAGCACGTTGGTCGGTATGTACTCTCTATTGCACCCTTCCACCTGTCATAATCATGTCACCAAACATTAAAATCCTTTCACTAAATGTCAAAGGCTTCAACTCCCCACGTAAAAGACAAATAGCATTCCGCCAGTTCCACCCCACTAAATTTGATATAATATGCCTCCAGGAAACTCATTTCTCTCGCTCCTCCTACCCACGATATTTCCATCCCCAATATTTACAGGTTTTTATGGCCAACGACTTAACTAAACACCGGGGTGTCATGATAGGGTTCAAAAACTCTACACAGTTTAAATGCACCAAAGAAATCCCCGACCCATGGGGCCGCTATCTTATCCTCATTGGCACACTGTGCGACCGCGAAGTCACTATAGTTACCTATTACGCACCCAACTCCAGACAACTCCCTTCTTTAAACACCTCTTATCCACTCTTGGCGCCCATCAGCAAGGTACGCTGTTGCTATGTGGCGACTCCAACATAGCCACCTACCCCAGTCTAGACAGATCATCAACAAACGCCCCCATCCCTGATAGTTCCAAAGCCTTTCGCACACTCCTTTCCCAACATTCCCTCAAAGACTGCTGGAGAGAACTGCACCCCTCCTCCAAAGAATATACTTTCTACTCGAACCCACATGATACATTCTCCAGGATCGATCATATCTTCGTCTCGCACCCCACTCTCCCATCAGCACTGGAGTCCAACATAATTCCATTCCCCTGGACCGACCACCATGGGGTAACTCTATCGTTATCCTCTTTGTGGTCGGCGCATACTGACCGATCCTGGATTATGAATGACTCCCTCCTCACAAATGAGAATACTCAAATGGCTATAAAAAATGCCCTACAAGAATATATCCTGTACAACACATCTTCAGATATCTCTCCTACCACACTTTGGGAGGCACATAAACCGGTTCTGCGGGGCACATGCATCCGCATTGCCTCCACCCTTAAAAAACAGAGATTGGCCCTCTTAAATTACCTTGAAACGAGATTCAATGATGCATCCAGAACCTTTAGGTTGCACCCATCCCCTGCGCACAAATCTCTTGTGGAAAAGACTAGACGTGACCTTAACCTCCTCTTAGCCAGCTTTGCTGACAAAAGCCTCCGTAGAACACAACATAAATTCTACCTTCAAAGTAATAAACAAACTGCCCTCCTAGCGAGAAGATTACGCAAAATTGATCTACACCAAAAACCCCTCCGCTACTCTGACAACTCTTTGTCCAGCAATCCCCATAAAATAGTCCAGGAATTCGCAGCGCACCTAGCTAAACTGTATAATACTACCACACCATTTGATCCTGAAGCAGCCTCCATATTAATTTCTGCTGTGCATATGCCTGCCATGCCCGAGTCAGCCCGCATATCTCTTGATGCCCCTATCAACGACCTGGAAGTAATCGCAGCCATAAAAACACTCAAACTTAACAAGAGACCTGGCCCTGATGGCTTCAAGGCCTCCTATTATAAGAAGTTCTCTGAACTCCTAGCACCACTGTTGGCAGCTGCCTTTAATGATATCCGGACTGGGTCTAAATTTAGGACAGAGTCCCTCTCAGCTACCATTTGTATGATACCAAAACCAGACACGGATGGTACCCATTGGGCTAATTACAGACCAATATCGCTATTGAATGTCGACATTAAACTACTAGCCAAAATATTAGCGACAGGACTCAACTCATTTATCCCAGACCTTATCCACAAAGATCAGGTCGGTTTTATCCCCCGGCGGCAACCGGGGGACAACGTACGCAGAGCTGGTCTACTAATAGAAAAAGCTAACCAGCGGCGCATTCCATTCATGCTCCTATCTCTAGACATTCAAAAAGCATTTGATTCCCTGTCTTGGCAATACTTGTTCCACATACTATGTAAATGGGGCCTAGGGTCGGGATTCTGTACCTGGATTCCAGCATTATGTTCAAACCCCACGGCCTCAGTGAGATATACGGGGCACCGATCAACACATTTCCCTATCCTACAAGGCACTAGGCAAGGTTGCCCCTTGTCCCCTATCTTATTCGCTATGGCTATAGAACCCCTAGCGCAGATGATCAGAGACCACTCGGACATCGCAGGCATTCCTCTGGCAGGACATCATCATAAATTATGTATTTTCGCAGACGATATCTTACTCTTTCTTACCAACCCTCTCATCTCCCTTCCCAATCTGCTAAGCCTGATTAACTCATTTAGCCACCTCTCAGGCCTACACCTGAACCCTATGAAATCAAAGACTCTAAACATCACGCTGTCCCCGCACACAGTAAATCAGTTAAAAACGAACTACCCATTTCAATGGGAGTCTTCGTCTTTGAAATACTTGGCCGTCCAGCTGACCCCCTCTCTCTCCTCCTTATACTCGGCCAACTATCCCCCATTGCTCACTAAACTTAGAAATCTATTAAGGATCTGGCACACTTACCCCCTCTCGTGGTTAGGCAGGATTGCAGCAGTCAAGATGACCCTGTTGCCTAAGCTTTTATACCCTTTTCGGGTCCTCCCCACACCGGTTCCCTCTCATCAGCTCAGAGCATTCCAGAGGCAGCTTTCCACCTTTATTTGGTCCCACAAAAGACCTGGAATCGCGCATAGCTCCATGTGCCAAACTAGGCGCTCTGGTGGATTAGGCGTACCAAATCTCCAGAAATATTACGTCGCCGCCCAAATGGCAACAGTTACCAAATATCACGCCACTGATGAAGTTCCACTTTGGGTGTCGATTGAAGCCCTTGATTGCGACCCCTACTCAATAGACAACCTCTTATGGATGCTACCTAAATATAGGACCACTATCACTAACACTATCACCCGCCACTCCCTCCGGATCTGGGACGCTTCTAAATACTCATGCGGCTTCCTATCTCCCCAACTGCCCATGCTTTCCTTTTTCCACCACCCTGCCTTCTCACCAGCATTTGATTCTCCAGCAATGTTTCACAAATGGAAGGATAAGGGAATAACTCGTTTCCTTTCCATGTTTTCCAATTCAAAGATTATGCCCTTCCCAGAACTCCAAACTAGATACACACTTCCATCATCTGAAATCTTTAGATATTTGCAAATAAAAAGCTTCATACAAGCCAGTGCCAAGCTGAACGGCAACCTGCTGTCCATTTCTCCATTTGAGAAAATCTGTAAACATGACCCACATTCAACAGGAGTCATCTCACTACTTTACACAACTTCGCTACATTCAATCCCCACTTTACACCACTCGTATATGGATCGCTGGCATAAAGACTTGGACACAGAACTTTCTGATGACACATGGTCCCAAGTGTGGATCTCTACTAACTCCAGCTCGACAAGCGTGAGAGTACTCGAGACAAACTACAAAGTACTTCTCCGCTGTTACTCTACTCCGTCGCAGGCTCAATATTACCTTCCGGGTTGTACAGGCTCATGCTTCCGTGGTTGCCCTGACAGCGGCACATATCTCCACATATGGTGGTCATGCCCCATTGCCCAAACATTCTGGCTCAAAATTTTTTAAATGCTCTCCGCCCTTTCTGGGGTGCACGTCCCCCCTACACCTCAAACAGCACTACTTAATGTAAAACCTGTAAACATCACCTACACGAAGTTTAAATTGATATTGCACGTCCTTTCAGCAGCTAAATACACTATAGCCAGCTCATGACTTACCAACAAGCTCTCTCTCCAAGCTTCCAAAAACAAAATCCACTGGATTTTTTCCAATGAGAAACTTGCGGCGCGCCTAACAGATCAAATCCCGAAATTTGAGAAGGTATGGGAACCCTGGGTGAAACATTTTCTTCCACCCACCTTTGACACTCGCATATTGACTCTGTGAATGTACCCTCATTAATATCATACTCATCATACTACCGACTAAAAGATGGGCTGGCTCACCCATCGCAACCCCAAATGTTTCCCATCCCCCCTCTGGTACTCTATTCCCTTTCTTTCTATTATTTAGTGTTTGCTCATGTTCTCAACGCTACAACCGTGACTGATGAGGTTCATACCTCCTTTGAATATACTCTGATTGGCCGACATGGGTTATCGGGTCCGTTGAGCAGACTTTTTGTTATGTACAAACACCGTTGTCTGTAACATTTAAACATTCACTTGATGTTCGAGCGTATGTACCAATTACTTGACCTTTATGAAAAATGACAATAAACTTTTTTGAAACTAAAAAAAAAGCTTCCATTATAGCCAAAGTCCTGATGGAAAAGTTATTTGTCTATTATGGGCTACCCACAGCCTGAGTAGTTTAACCGCACCCTTCTAAACATGTTGGAGATGTTCACATCTGAATAGAAACAACACTGGAGCAGGCACATAGTAGCAGTGGTTCATGTCTACAATGATATGAAGCATGATCTAACAGATTTATGTTCAAGAACAGCTTGTTTATCTCCAAGCAATTGTATGGTGTAGACAGGGACCCAAGGTGAGAGCTGGAAAGGGGGTTCAGGCTAGAGACCAAAGTCTCAGTTTGCTGTGCTACTTTTCGCCTGACTTTCAGAAGACTTGTCATCTGTGCAAAGGGATGAAGCAAACTGTTTGCAGTCATCTTTACTCAGCCTCGGGATTTTGCAGCCACAGCTTCTCCTCTCTTGCTTTACAAATACCTTCATTTGAAGGCCAAGTGCTCTCTTGTCAGGATCAAGGGCCTCATTACTGGCAGACTTTCTGTTTACCTACTCCTCTGGCCAGTGGCTAAATAGGGCCTAAGCATTATAAATAGGCTATATTGTTATCTGCACTCCTTAATATTTCTGTGACATTCACATCTTAATTTCTGTTAGTATGGTCTGTACAGTCATTTTTCTCTCATTCTCCTAGTGCATTCAGACGGGGCCCTTCACAGGCGAGTAAGGCAATGAACAGTGTTTGCTTCACTGTGTTTGGAAATATTTAGGTGGTCGTTAATGTGTTAACCCTGCCATTGTTAAATCTGTTTAATCAGTGCTTCCCTCACAGGGCTTATTCCAGTCTAAATAAAGCCCATTATTTCACTATTGCTGTGTTGGTGGATTGTCAGGTCCAGTAGAAGGGCCAGCCATCACTGGAAATGGTAGAAAAACCCAACATTTACAGCAGCTCCTAAGGGGATCAGTGTTGCAGTTATATATTATATAAATAAAGCATACATTTAGAAGTGGTAGTAAAAACCAAGGATATAACAGTACCTTGCTCACATTGATATGCAAAGGTAGCCATGGGGAAGCCATCTTACTTGGTTCAACATCTGTCTTTTTCAAATGAACTGAAGCATCTTCATAAAGAATGGGAATTCCAGAAGACGACTCTAAAAAGAAGTAAAATAAAAAACTAAATGTGATCAGAATATAAGATTATTATTTATAACAGTATTGAGTAAAATCCCTACATCCATCTGCTAAAACATGATATACTTAAAGAGACCCTGTTATCAGACCATTAATTTCAACATCAATATATTAATATGTGCATGTGATGTATTTTAGGCATGTTATTTACCTGCAAAGGCCTAGCCTGGTGTAGACATCCAAAAGACCTGAGACTGCTGCGAAGCCACCAGACTCAGAACTGGCACTATTGTATTTCCCTTTGTCCCCCAACCCCCCCAGATTCTACCTAAAATGTTATGTAATGGAGATGAAGACAAAGGAGGAGGGTCAATGTAGAGATGAATTAGAGATTCCCAGAAGACGGCTATGAAGTGCAATTAGGAAAGTGGCTGTGCTAGGAAACTGACTTTTCTGAAGTAGTCAAATTTGCTAGCAAGTTCAGAGGCACATTGTAGATCAGTATTTTTTTTGTAAAGGAAAAATGCTGCAAGTCAAGTATCCTAGATACTTTTTTTTTGTGCTTTTACCTGCAATGTTTTAAGTTGGTGACAGAGTCTTTTTAAAGAGTCATTGGTATTGTGAACTCATTATTTCAGTGTATTCTCACACTTGGTTTATCGTTGTGTGGCCTATTACCTAATACATTTGGGAGCCTGGTGCTTCCAGTGCATAGTTTTGCTCTCCAGTGTTTGACTAAGTAAAAAAGTACCATAAAGCTCCCCCCAGCACTTAATCCAACCTCTAGGGCAGTGGTGGCGAACCTTGGCACTCCAGCTGTTCCAAAACTACAAATCCCAACATGCATCTGCCTCTGGGAGTTATGTCTGTGGCTGTCAGAGCCTTGCAATGCCTCATGGGACTTGTAGTTCCAAAACAGCTGGAGTGCCAAGGTTTGCCACCACTGCTCTAGGGAGACCCTTACTGTAAAGAGAGAGGCTCAGGTGGGCTGTACAGGATCTATGGTAGAGGCTCAGGTTGGCTCTGCAGGGTTACGCTTAGGTGGGCTCTGCAGGGTCACTCTTAGGTGGGCTGTGCGGGATCTCAGGTAGGCTATGCATGGTCTAAAGTGGGTTGTGCAGGCTCTCAGGTGGGCTCAGCGGGGTCTATGGTGGGCTCTGCAGCGTCTCATGTAGGCTCTGTAGGGTCACTCTTAGATGGGCTGTCTGGTATGTGTGGGGTCTCAGGCTCTGCAGGATCTCAGATGGGCTCTGTTGGGTCTCAGGTGGGCTTTGCGGGGTCTCAGGTGGGCTCGGCAGGATCACTCTCCGGTGGGCTGTGTAGTGTTGCAGATGGGCCCTGCAGGGTCTCTGGAGTGTGCTGAGTCTAAGGTGGGCTGTGTAGGGTCTATTGTGTCTTGTGCGGGGTCTCCAGTGGGCTCTGCGGGGTCTATGGTGGGCTCTGCGGGAACCTATGGTGGGCTCTGCAGGGACACTCTCAGATGGGCTGTGTGGAGTCTCTGGTATGTGTGGTGTCTCAGGTGGGCTGTGTGGGCTCTTAGGTGGATACTGTGGGGTACATAGTTAGCTCTGCAGGGTCACTCTCAGGTGGGCTATGTGGGTTTTTTGGTGGGCTCTGCAGAGTCTCTGGTATGTGCAGGGTCTCAGGTGGGCTGTGAGGGGTCTCATGTTGGCTGTGCGGAGTCTCAGATGGGCTGTGTGGGCTCTCAGGAGGGCTGTGTGGGCTTTCAGGTGGGCTGTGCAGGCTCTCAGGTGGATACTGTAGGGTCTATAGTTGGCTCTGCAGGGTCGCTCTCAGGTGGGCTTTGTTTTTCTGGTGGGCTCTGCAGAGTCTTTGGTATGTGCAGGGTCTCAGGTGGTGTGAAGTCTCAGGTAGGCTGTGAGGGGTCTCATGTTGGTTCTGCGGGGGAAGATTTATGAACAGGTAATTTTTCTTTTCTTCCACAACAAAGTATCAACACATTTAATATTTTTTTTATTATCACTCTTTGCAATTAAGCCAGTGCTTAATTAGCTCCCAAAGTCCCAGTGATTTATCTCCCTGGCTTGTACTTCTCCCATTCCTAGGGTATTTCTTCCCAAAGAGGTACTCAGGATGCAGCAAGGGACAATGAATGACAGACAGGCTGACAGGATGCCTGAAACCGAAGCAACATGGCCTAGTCTTAAGGGACCTAACACCCTGTAACATGCATACCTTGTTTGAAAAACACTGCTTTAGTGGATATTGCTAAGCCAACCCCCATTCCATCAAAAAAGATAAGGAGTGTGATTTAGAAGTACTCAAGTGTTTTTAATATACTTCAGTGGCCACTGCCTTAAAGGAGAACTATGAGGTGAGTGCTTTTCACTCACCTCATAGTTCTAGCCGACCTGTGACAATGAGACTGTCACAGGTCGGCTCAGTAGATCGGGAAGTGAGCGCACACATACCGGCGTTCGCTCACTTCTCGATCCTGTCACGGCTCTCTGCCGTGACAGGGGAGGGGCTGGATTAACCCCTCCCCGCTCAGATCCTCCAGCGCTGACTGGCGGAACAGACGGGGGAGGGGACGGGTACAGCTGGCTCTGCCTCTGGATAGGCAGAGCCAGCTGTCACTCACGCAGCTGGGCGGATCCAGACATGATTGTTGGGATCCGCTTCAGCTGTGGCATCTCAGCGGTATACTGCGGCGTCTCAGTATACCGCAAGCTATAGCTCGCGGTATACTGAGCTTAGGGTGACGGGAGGACGCTAGTTTGTGTCCTCTCGTTACCCTTAGGAGAACTATGGGGAAAAGCCCTAACCCCATAGTTCTCCTTTAATGTCACAATTTCTAACTATATCAATATTTCCAGATGACACGATTTTATAATCTGACAACTAACATATTGTTTAACAGAATGAAACGTTTTGATGAAGACCAAACATGATACAAATTGAATACATACAATGGATATCAGATTTAATGTGTTTCATCCGCCTTCTGTACATTATAGCATAGGCATGTTTGGTATTGAACTGTTATTTTATTATATATTTAGGTGAACACTTATAATGAATAAAGGGCTATCATAGCAATCATTTTGGAAATTGTATAAAACGTAACTCTGTATAGTTAAGAAACCAGACTTAAAAATGTGAATTGTGAAGTCACATACCAGACTGGGCATTTTATTAGAGATTTTGGCTAAATAAAGGTTTACAACTGCTATTAGCAGGCTATGACTTGCCAGACTCTGCTATGTACTGTTTATGACAGCCAATTAGCGTTAGGATTTAGGTTTATGAGCATGTAGAGTTTGACCCAAACTTTACACATTTGCAGATCACCGAACAGACAAACTAATGGCAACCAATGCTGCTGTGCAAAAAGAAATAGATGTGAGGGCCATGAAAAATCCATACCAGACCCTTATTGTGGTCTAGTGTGAATTTTAAGGGAAACTCAATGTGAAACACCAGGCAAAGGAATGGGATCTCCTCAAAATCTATAGGGTCTGGTATGGGTTATAAGAATGTACCTCATGAAAAAAACAATAAAAGGTTGTGGTCCTATGAAAATCCATACAGACCCTTCTGAACCATACACATGCCCTCAACATGTGGGCGGTACTTTGCCAGGGGACAAGGGTGTCTTCCCCACATCCCTGGCCTGGTGGATGTGGGGGTCCACGCCTCACCCTACTTGAATGAATAAGGAGTACATACCCTTGGTTACTCATTCAAGATACAAAGTAGAGATGCACCGAAATTTTGGCCGCTGAAACAAGCAAAATACTGAAAGTACCATGTTTTGGCCGAAATTGCGGTGCATCCCTAGTTTCTCTCCTGCTCCTCCTTTCTATTTTAAAAGGGAAATATCAGGGGTCTGTTTAGACACCTGATACTTCCCAAAGCCCCCGACAGTAAAGTTAAAAAATAATGTTTAATAAAAAATTATTAAAAATAATCTTAAAAAGTTTAGAAAATAATAAATAAAAGTAACAATTGTAAAAAGTTTTTTAAAAGGTCAAAAAAAATTGGGTTTTGACCAGACAATTTTCTGGTTTCGGTCATGCACCTCTAATACAAAGTATTATGCATGCTTGCTGCCCCTACCTTTACTGACTATCCAGGCTCCTTGCACAGATAGGGGTTTGATATGGACTTTTATGTTGGTATGGACTTTTATGGGAAACCCCATGCTGTTTCATTTTGTTTTTTGGGGATCCTCCCTTGAATCCATATCCGACCCTTATCTAGGATATACAGTACTGTAGATGTTAAAGGGAATTCCACTTTGTTTATAAACAGAGCGAAGCAGTTTGGAAATGTCCTGAGGCAATTTAAATTGCATTATTTCTTTGTAAATGTCTCTTTTACTTTAGTAAATCATAGTTAAAGATATATGTCCGCCTTGGCAGTGCCCAATTACCCATGCCCTCCTTTCCCTAAAGCTTGCAAATTGGCGTAACATAGGGTTTGTCACTATATTTGGGGGTTTGTGATTTTTTTTCAATTGTTTGTTTTCAATTTGTTTGTTCAGCAAACCAAACTTTGCTCGGTGTGCTCATCACTGTTCATCACTTGGTTTGCTCATCACAGGCTGTGCAGATCCTGTGCTAAGCAGGATTTATGATACTGCTAGAAGTTACATGACCTTCTGCTAAATGAGTTTAACAAGATTTACAATGGCCTGTTTGTGTCTGGAGCTGACTGTTCAACCTGATTGTTTTGTCACTGGCTTGTGGAAAATGAAGGTGGCACTGCATTCGGGTACACTCCCCATCCTCACCACTCAGTCTGGGGCTCAAAAGACCTCATTATCATCACAGTTGTCTTACTGCTTTACACATGCAAGCAGGCATTACGCAAGGCCAGTTTGAGGGTTTCTTACTTAATGAGGGTGAGAATTAAGAAGTTATACTGGAAATTGTATGTAGAAAGCTATTCGGGGCTAGTTTGCACATTTTTGTGTAGGGTACTTCAAACTTGAACAAAATCTTTAATCTAAAGTTTTCTTAAAAATTGATCTGCTACAAAAGGCAT